CATAACAAGTTACTAATATGCAATCTGGTATTTTTGCACATACTTTAAACCTACGTCCCAGTAGACACCCTGGACCTCAAATTTTTGCAGGGCATGTACACAACACATACACAAAAATGGCACTGACGTATACAATACATTGACACAAACGGTACTAGACTGTCTCGCTTTGATTTCGGAATGCTTCCACATTGAGAAGTTAGCTTACTGCCAATATAGAAGTATTATATACATATATGATTTAAATAAAACATATGAATTTTATTTGTCAATTTTATTGTGGCGAATTAATGTTTATTCCAGTAGTGTAATTGAGCTTTGTACCACGATTTGTTTGTTAGGAGAAATGGAAAAAACAACAAAGACTAAGCGGTAGAAGTTATAGCTGATATTTTCGAGATCACCACATCTTCTCATCAGACTTCTTTTTCTAGACTTCAGCAGGGATCGAACCCGAAATTTTAGTTGAAGCATTTTAGCCGCTTTTTTGGACAATTTAGCCGGTCGGCCCAAAAAGTTCTGGCAACACTGATTATAGGTATCATAACCATAAACAGCTGATTTTTCGTAGTCAACAATGTCAGTGTTGCCAGACGCGGAAAAAGTGTAATATCGTAGGATATTTGCGCAGAACTTTTTTCACTATCACTAAATTAACACAATTCTTAAAATTCAACAGCAGCAGCCGGATTCCAGCCTTCGTTATCGCTAATTTTGATCGCTAAAAAATCTCCCAAGAATAGCAGGCGCGCCTAACAACATACACCACCTAGTTACATGCTACTCATACTACCAACTTTGGTTGATTACACATTGCATCTGTTACTTTTATATTGCGTGCTTTTAGGCCCCACTGATTTTCATTTAGAGAATTTTGGCGATGGAAATTTAGCGTGGCGATTGTCAGAATTCCATTGCAGATCATAATAAAATATGTACATCAAATTAAAGGTAATAACTTGTGCTTTCTTAATAATATATTCTTTGTTAAAAAATGGTATTTTATGAAAAAATACGAAATTTTTTTTCGTTTTTAGTATTTTTGTATTAAAAATATAAAAAAGCATATAAATTATGTACATCAACTGAAAGATAAATTAATTGTCTTTATTTTGACATCATTAGTTTTAATCGGTTAAGTAGTTCATAAGATGTTAATATTAAAAAAAATAAAAAAAATTAATTTAACCTTTTATATCTTCGTTATATTTTTGCGCCAAATAATTTTGGTACAGTTCAAATCAGCGTGAGAGTTCTATCGAGCCACATTTTTGGTTTTTGCATAGCTAAATGGTTCATATTCTACACTTATGCCTAAACGTTGGCTGTGAACAATTTTTTATTTTTTTGGAAGGTATTGCCATGTGTTCTTACTCGCACTTAAGAAAACAGCTGATTATGGTTATAGCGGAAGACCCAAATTAATTGGTCTCGGTGGTTATGGTTATGGCTATGGCGTTATGGTGTGGCAACACTAATCGAATACAGTGTTGGCCGTAAGGTTGGTTTTAACAGCTGTTTTATATGGTTGTGGTTATGTCACCACTAATTTAAGCTTTAGACTAGCCTACTAACTGCTTTTGTTATGCTCAACTAAAGGTAGGACCAGTGCAGTTTTGATGCGGTCAGACTAAAAATGATGAGACACAGTAGCAGTTCTACGAGTTCCTCAAAGAAGGATATGAACGCCTCCCACGAAATGTTATTAAAATTTTGCTTTGCGATTTATCGACTTCGCCGCATCTCTGAACCAGGTAATTAGGATTATCACCCACCAGCAACGAAACATCTATAAAGCCACTCGGGTTGTGATATACCCTAACATTCACTTCGAGCGTTCTTGATGCGCGTACCATCAGGTATGCATGCGCTTCTGTTAGGGATGTTGCGATACTACTGATAATCTTGGTATCGATGATTTTGTTTCGATACTGGGTAAATCGGTATTGCATACTAGGGTAGTATACCCATATGGGTGCTTTCTTTCGATACCACTGAATGTATCAGTATAACGTCAATATCAATATCAACTTCATAAAAGCCATATTGTTCCTAGAATTATATTAAACTATATTTCCTGTTTAGTGAAAAGTAAAGTATGGAATCACATTACCAAGATTGACAAAATCTCGGTTAAGCTCAAAGTTTGTTTGAAAAATCTAAAAATTTCGGGCATACAACAATTAAAAAAAAACATTTACCTACTGATGGCACATTATATTTATTCATTCCATTAACTGCGATTCCTGATTCCTGACACAACGTCATAGTTTTCGCGCTTAGCTCTTTTCGTATTCTGATGTAAACGAGCCATTTTTACAACCTTTTATTTAACTTGTTTATGTATTGTTTATTACGCACTGCAGTTGTTAAAAATTTATTATTAATTTTCATTAACTGCATCATTCATATTAGGCCAAAATATGTTTGTTTCAAAAGGATAATATATCGATATTTTATTTCCGATACCAATACCCATATTTGTATCGATACTTAGCTTCTGATACATCATTTGATACTGGCATCGATACTTTTATAGTATGGCAATATCCCTAGTCTCTGTAAGATGAAGAACCTGAGCCAGGTGTGGTTTCAATGTACAGTCGTGAAATTTCGGAATCGAAATATACAAAGCCGCATTTTAGCCAAAGACAAAGGCGGGGAGGCGTCTTTTCAGGAATAATGAAGAGGTAGAAAGCCTTGAATGGGCAGAGCCTGAGATGCTGGCAGTCGGGCAGGAACGCGGCCTGAATTTTCTAAAAAGAAAAAAAGAAACGATTGGTTTCAAGATTCGGACTAGTTCCTGCAGGGACGAAGATGGAAATCGGGTAGAAAGCGTCCGGGAACACTTAATATACGGAGGAAACCTTTAACGCCGTTTTATAATGGCGACAGCAGTGTGGCTTTTGATTAAACAGAGGCAATGTACAGAGACTCTCACGTCGCACAGAGCATAGTTTAGGCGATTTAGGGGAAGGAAAAGCGAAAACTGAATGTTGGTAAAAGAAGTTCAGATAAGCTGTATGTACATATGGATATCTGATGTAAAAGAAAATCGGTTCCCGATTGTCTGAAGATTTCCAGAAAGAATGCTGATCTTGTAGAAACATGGCTGTTTTTGACGAACTATAATTTCCAGTTTTCCGGCCTTTATCAATCAATGGTCGTATCCGTCTTATTTCCTAACGAGATTGCAATCTTGGATATCCTTTTAATTTTGCACATTGTAGCCTTAATAAAAACCATTATTTTAAAATTTTAAACGTCATCCTTGCATGTCAATTGCGCTCCTTTAGATTTAAATCATACGTAAGTGGGATTCAGCTTTTTCATATAAGCATATAAATTTTGTGACAACTGTAGGTCACCTTTGTGTAACAACATTAAGGCGCACGCCACAAATCGGAGGATAAGCTCGGCCAAACACCAACATATGTGTTAGCGCCTAGCTGTTATTATATAAATTGTGTATCAGCGCGTATCAATCGGATCTCTTTAGGAATGTTTAATCGATCATCTCTATATCAAGGGCCAATAGTACCTACGAATTATGAAATGGGAAGGACAATTCCAAAAAAGTCGATTCACAGTCAAATTTTGGTAAAAATCGCCTTTTCTTGTGTATTTTTGCTGGCAAAAATTTAGTCATTGGGGCTTTTCTGATTTTTAATCAGGGCAGCCATAAATCTCATAAAAACAGAACCAAATATGGGTTCGTGGTGTGGTTGGAGCGGAGAAACGCTGTTAAATCACAACCAAGCAAAAAATTAAATGTTTGCAACATTTATAAAAAATTAACAATATATTGGTATGCGATGAAATGTCCACGTGTAAAAATTTCTCTGCGATAAGATTTTGTAGGCGAGAAAACTGACAGTTTGTGGGAGCATTTTTTTTAAATATACTTCTTAATATGTATCTAATACATATCGCAAATTTTTGTGGAAATAGCTCAATAAATATGGAATTTCAAAATATTTCGACCCCGGCGCCATCTATCGGTTCAGTTTTCCTACATATGCAACCAATATTCATTGAAAAGATAAACCAGATTGGACCATGACTAACATAGACCATAATTATACAGGCTTTTGGAAGTACATAACGCATTCTAGAGTCAAAATTGTGGGCACTATGATTTGCCTTCCCCTAATCTCCCCTATTACGCACTGTGCGGTGTTATAATCCACCAAGATGAGGAACAGCAATAATGCGACTTAAAAATAATGAAATTCCCCAAGCAGGCGGCATACGAGCTCAGCTATTCAAAGCTGCCAGCAAGGTATCTGTTAAGATACCTGTTCGGGGCAATATGGTATACCTGCCCGAAGACTGAATTTTCAATCCAAACGATGGGATATACGTTCATAACCTTCATTGTAAGGCCATTTCGACGATATTCTGTGCACGACTGACTGGGGCTTATTAATGTGGCCTTAGACGTGAAAACTCCATACATTTTCAAATTAGGGAAGAGACAGAATGATGAACTGTACGAGCTTTATTTAATATGTACAATGTACAAACGATTGTAGTTCTAAAGAGGAATTCAATTTGCAACATTTTTGTGGCCCAAGACTACAGGAGAAAAAGAATTAGAATTCAACAACAAAGTAAGTAAAAAATAGAGTTTCACTCGCTTCTTGCCATAAGCTCAGAGTCCCACTTCTGTACTCACATTAAATTACCTAAATAAAGCAGGAAAACCTTGCACCGCATACGCCACACTGTTTAATTCAATAGAAGACGCAGACTTTGATCGTTCTTGACTCTACCTCGCTTTACTTGAATGCTTAGCTCCTCGTATGAGCACTGGCCCTACCAAATATACATATACAAATATTATAGCTGCTGCTAGTTTATCTCAGACCACTTCCATGGCTGTGTATATCCACTCGTATGTTTGTCAATCGATACAGCTAGCAGACCAGCATAACCTTCAGGTCCTCCAATTCCTCGTTCAAATATTCTACGCAGTCGCCTACGCTTATGTTACTTACACAAATCGGGGTCCCTGCAGTGCCATTGTCGCCATCGCCGACCTTACCACCCCGCCGATGCTGCATTTCACCTTGCTGCTCTACTATTTGCTGCTGCAATGTCAACACGCCATCCAGGCTACTGATGCCTTGCAATCGCTGCGCATCATTGATATTGCTGCCATCGTCAACTTCGTAAAAGCCATCATCTGTAATATCTGGATTCATTTTAGTAGTGACTGGCTGCGATGCCAGTACGGCGGCTTGATGTATTTGTCTCTGTTGCTGCTTCTGTTGCTGGTCATGCGGCTGCTTCATGGTGTGCAATTGCAGAACGTATTTAGGTGTTAATTTGTAATCGTCGTGATTGTCATCGCCAGTCATTGCCGCTGCAGTCGCCACCTGCTGTTCAGTAGTCCCGAGTATGCTTTGCACTACGACACCAATATTATTAACAACTTGGATGTTTTGCTGAGTTGGATGGCAATAGTCATTTTCTTCATCCGATGACGGTGAACTATCCAATAGACAACTACCTTGGTTGTAAGCGCTGTCGATATCTAAATTATGTGGGATGTGTATTTGTTGTTCATACGAATTAGCAGTTTTATCTAACAAATCTCCACTGCTCTCAATGCAATTGAAAACGCGTTGTGCAACAGCGTTCCCATCCTTACTTTCAGACAACCCTGAGGTGCTGCTACTTATAGGAATATTACCGGAATCGTCATTTTTTAATAAGAATTCGGTAAAGACATTGTTATTATCATTTTGAACATCCCGCTGAACGCCGAAGCTCTCGCCTGCACTTTTCTTCATTTTATTATTAGTTGATAAATCAGCGCTTCCAATGTTGAAGTGGTCGCTGTTGCCTTCTTGCCTGCTGCTATTGCAGCCATCCACAGCAACTACGAGGTGTTTTTCCAGACTACTGCAATCGGAGTCGCCAGATGTCAAGAAAAACTGATCCATAATACTGCTGTTCATCGTGTGCTCGGCTAATTCGGTTCCCATGAGCTGCGTAGCGTGCCTATAGTCAGCGTCGTCATCAATAATATGGCTCTGGGCAATGCTAATTATGTTTGCCTTGGAATAAGTATCTGCAGAGCCAGCATGCAAGAAATTCTCATTTTTGATGCTCAATCGCTTACTTTTGGTACCATCGTCGCAGTCCACCCCGTATTGAGCTTCAACAACTAAATTTTGATCGATGTTAAGATTATTGTTAGCAGCAGTACCGTTATTGCGACTCCGATTTGAGAATTTTCTCTTGCTGTAGTTATTGTTTCGCGAAGTCGCGTTAAATGTTGTTAAGCTTTGTTGACCTTTGAAGCCAGTGCAATCTGGCTCGTCCTTTTTATTGGCTCGTAATTTGATGGCCTTGGTTTCCAATTCAGTGCATATATCCGTTGAAGTTGCGATTGCAGATGTCGTATAAAACATTCCTTGTTTTTTGACAATTGTTAAACTTTTGTTATTCAGCAGAATTTGACTGGCATGTACGACGGCAACATGGCCAGGCGCGGGCAACGTTGCTTTGACGTTTCTGCGTTCGCTGCGCTTGTGGCGCAGATTATGAACACTCCGAAGCTTCACGATATCGTCCGCTAGAGTGTTGGTTAACTTTTGTTGCCGTCGGTTTTTAAGTTTGTACAGCTGTTGTTGTGACGCATCGTGCTGTGATGTGTGCCCTTTTTTGTCGTTTTCCTCTTTTTGTCGATGATGTCGCTGTCGCTCTTCCTTGATTATCTGTTCTGTATTGTGTCACAACATGTCTTCATGGTCTGGATCGTGATCATTTTCGCCTTCGAGATCGAAATCATCATGACCTAGGTCAAGGTCCATGTCGGGGTCATCGTCCAAGTCCAATGAATGTCGATTACTTGGCGAAAGTGCAGACTGATGGTGTTGCTGTAAATGCTGATGTTGTTGATGATGATAATTGTGGTGATGGATGTTGTTGTTATTGCCATTATTGTTGCCTAACCGATTGCCGCTACCATGACGGTGCATTCCCATTCCCTTCGAATCGTCATCGCGCCATTTGTCCATTGAACGGCGGCGTGCATTCATGAAGAAGTTGCCCACGGTAGTAGGCTCTAAGCCCAGTTGCCGGGCAATTGTCACTTGCATTTCCTTTGAAGGCCTCTTCGTTTCCTTAAAAAAGGAATTTCAATTATTACAGTTAAAATATAATCCTAAAGTTTTTTATTGTTTATGCTTAAGTCGGCACGCAACCATCTTAAAAAAAATTTTCCTTTTAGCTTAAATTCGTGCCGTCGTAAAGTTGAACTTTTACTAAGATTTTGTACTGATAATACTCTGCTTTGCGGGACAGCCCTTCTAATACATGATAAACTTAACATGTGTGCGATAATTGACCTCAATCACAGTAAATCTAGCTTTCAGTTTTTCAATATCATATAACATGAAAAAAGTGGTAAAAATAAGTTTTATATTTATCTACTCATAGCTATCTTACATAACCCTCTCTTTGAAAAACCCAGTCCCAACCCATTTCTTTTGTACCTTCAAAGTTGGATCACGGTGTCATACGACCGATAGCGCCAATTCGCAAAGAGAGTGCTTTGGATACTAAACGATTCGGTACGCAGCAGGTGCAACCGCACCCATCGACATTAGTAATGATATTTGAACTCTCCGTGCAAATTGTGTATCAATCACAGTGATATTGAACGCTTATGTAATTAACTTTCAAGAAAAAATGTTACCTCTGAGCCACAATTACTTTTTGACTTAAAAAAAGTCAAAACTACAAAAACTACCGAGTTTCTTACATACAAAAATTATATATACTATTTCACAGTGCGACAAAAACATCGCGAAATGCATCCGAAACCAAAGGTTTTAGGTAGGGTCAAGTACAACAAGAAAATAGGTTTATTATAGTTCCTGTTTATAAAAAAAGCGTGTTTGCGTACTTTATGCACTTATCTATTAACTATTTTGTTAACCTTAGATGTAGTCAAGGCCGGAAAAAAAACACACAATATTACATTATTTGATTTATTTGGCCTTCTTCAGGATTCCAAAAAAATATAGAATATTTTTATATGAAAGTAATACTAATTAATACTAAGTAATAGTAATTAAAATAACGGATTTCTATCTGCCGGCACAAGCAAGCGACCTAATACTTGCTAAATAACGGAACATAAACCGACGCAATCACGAAAACCAAGAAAATAAAAATAACGGATTTCTACCCGCCGGCGAATACAAGCAACCAAAAAGCACCTACCTAATAATGAAACAAAAGCGGTCGCACTTAGATGGGTATGCATGACCTAATGACAGTTAAAACAGATAGTAACACGAATACATAAAAACGGAGGGAAACACGAACTATTCAGAACGAAAAATGACACTGAAGATGGCACAACGCCGAAACCGGGTTGTCTCCTAACCAAATTTGACAAGGGATGACGAAAAATCGTTCCACAATACATTATACTCTACCCTGACGGAAACACAAATAACCAAAAAGAAGATACATAAATATAGCTTTTTAACGTTCGGTAAACTGCAAGATAAGCAAGAGTGTTTTTCCCCATTTCGAACAGTTCCGATAATATGCTATGATATATTGAAGTAATTGGATCAAGTTAGATGGAAATCGATTAAGCTGTTATCGATATACTAGATTGGGTGGTGCCACGCCTCTTTTCCAAAAACCTATATGGGAATTCGCTCTTCTGTGTACTCGTTGTGTGTTGTGTAATTGTAACTGCAAGAGTGTGTGATTTGTTGTTGCTGGCGGTACATCAAATACACATGCAACAACAACCACACTCTCAACCAGTTACACTTACGCAGGATACAGCGAATACACAGAAGCGCGAATTCCACTTATGAGCTTCAGAGCTTGTTGTAAGATGGAGTAAATTGGCGTCTTTAGTTAGTTATTTTTTAAATAAACCTTTAATAAGTGGGCGTAGTTTTCGTCCGATGTGAAACATTTCTAACATATTGCTGAAATTGATAAACCGGTAACTGAAGTACACATATGTAGGGTTAAGTGGGCGGTGCCACACCCATTGTCGAGAAATTTCCCTAAGTGTAATTTTCTGCTAAGCGGTAATTGCATACATATATCGATTTTGACTGAATTTGCTTATATATTTACTAATTTATCATATTTCTGTAAATTACTGCTATATGTATGGTTCTTGCCTGATTTCAAACATTTTCAACGGATTTCTTAGTGAGACTCAAAGCAATGTTCGCACCGAGTTTGGTGGGGATTGGTAAAGGGATTGGTAAGTGTGCACCAGGACACCAGGACACCAGGACAATTTGTTTAAATCAGGACAAATCCTGGAAAACCAGGACGTCTAGCAGCCCTATATTGGAGGCACATATTAAATTCTTAAGTCATTTCCAAGAGTATGTTATACACATAGAAGATATTGTAGAATCAGTACGTTATTATTATTTTTTTAATATAACACAGGGCAACACTGATTTTGTTTTCTAAACTGTTAAATCTGGTTTTGATAGACTTTTTTGTGCTGATTGCGAATCTGTGGTATAAAGTTTCCATCAGTTTCAGATTTTGAGAAAAACGTGATCAAAGTATCAAAAAATAACGTTTTTTGCCATACTTGAGAAGCTCTAGCAAAAAAAAGAAAGATGATAGAACCTGCCACTTGGGCTTAAATTAAGGTGACACGTAATAAGATCAACGGAAATAAGGTCAATTGACTTTATTTCCCACCCTGGTGCGAAATAAAGTCAACTGACACTATTACGTATTTAAAAACGAAATAAAATCAATTGACATTATTTCTCTTTCAAACATTAAATTTGCTTAGCTTCTCGGCGGCCCGCGTTAGCGCGCCACACCGCGTGCGCCGTGCTCGCGCTCGCGCCCCGCGTACCCCGCGCGATCAGCGCACACACCACGTCACGCTACGCCGCGGCCCCGCCCCCCCCACTTCCCCGTCACCCGCCGTGCTGTAACGCAGGTGGATTTACTTTTTGTATACGTTGAAATAAAATTTGTATATATTTTAAACATCGAGGGCTTATATTCAATAATACCCCCTATCTGCAAATTTTTCACAAAGATGAGATTCTAATATAAAAATCCACCCAAGCTTTAACTGTCATCAGTGATATTAATGTTACCTTATATAACGACAGGTAATAAGTCCAACATGGTTTCTAAAATCACAAAATAGTTTTTGTGCAAATTGCAGATAGAGGGTATTAATGAATTCAAGCCCTCGATATTTCACCTTTTTATATTTGTAAGTTATTGAAAGCAGGGATGCCAACTTGGCTCAAACCGTGCCATTTGTCCCTATTTTACTTCAAATGGCACTTAATTTTTCAATTTGGCATAATTTATTATTTCTCTCTTTGGCACATTTTGGCACTTTTTTATCCTCAATATGGCACCTCATAACTAAGGATAGTTGGCAGCCCTGATTGGAAGATTTCTGCTGTGTTTTGGGGCAACAACTTGTCTGCAGTAAAAAAGCATATAATTTGTGTTTCAAAAGTGTGTGAAAACCAATCAATTAACTTATATGATCTCGGTTCCACAAATTGCTGGCGATGACATGAATACAGTGTAAGAAAATCCTTTTTCTATAATTGTTTCCTTATAGAAAGGTTGGTTTCTTTTCCGGCCTAGACATTCCGAATTCGTTCAAAATATGCTAATTTAAAACACAGAATTCTTTCAGTGTTCCTCCGGGGTTTTTGGACATGGACTGTTTCATCAATTTAATAGTGTTCGCTTTATTTTTGTAGAGTATTTGGCAATAACCTTTTTCATCTATTAAAAAAAACACTTAAGGGGCAATGTTTATTGTAAGAACAACATTTTTTTCTATGAATCGACATACTTTAAGCATTGTTGACGCTATTTCCATTTGAATGAGGAAATAGCCGTTGAGGTTATTTCCAAATTTTTGTTGACTTTATTTCGCTTTTGAAAAGGTAATAATGTCAATTGACTTTATTTCGCACCAGTGTGCGCCAGAACTCTTGAACACTATCCCTGCAAATATCATTTGTGCATCTTGACTTGATGGTCACTTATAGTGACTTGTTGAATAGCAAAAACTGATTTTGACGAAGTTTGAGTACCTACCGCAATTAAAAAAAGGTGGTAGAATCTTCCACTTAGGCTTAAATTAAGGCCCAAACTTTCAACTACAAACCCTGAAAATACTATCTCTGGAACTTGACCTTGAGGTCACTTATAGTAATTTATTGAACAGCAAAAACGGATTTTGGCATAATTTTCTTTCTTCCAATAGCACAATACTCCAATAATTTGTTATTGTTCGATAAATGATTATAAGTGACCATCAAAACAAGGTGAACGAATGGTATTTACAGGGATAATTACGAGAGTTCTAGGTTTAATTTAAGCCTAAGTGGAAGGTTTTATCACCATTTGTTTTTCTGCTAGAGCTTT